GGACGTGTGCGGGGGCGGGCCCCATGCCGCTGAAGCTGGTCTGGGGTAAGCCCGGCAGCACGCTGGAGCTGTTGGGGGTCACGGTGGCAAAGGCAGGCTGGGTGCTCTCTGAGTGCGAGGTGGTAGGTGGTGTGGACAGGGAGGTGGACAGGAGGTGTCCATCTGCACCGAGAAGGTTGCTAAACGGAGAGGGGTCCCCAAGGTTGACAGGAAGATTCCCCCAGTGAGTTCTGGGGTTGACCACCCCGCTAAGTGGCACATCCAGCTGAGTTGGGAGCAAGTGCTGTGCCATGATGGGCATCTCTGCTGAGAAGGTAGCTGCCAGGTTCTCTCCAGAGAAGGGTGTGGTGTGGGGGGATGTGATATGGTCGCTGTAGGGAGACGGCACGTGCTCGCTGTCGTAATGGCTTCCGTGGGGTGAGGAGTGTGAATGGTCACTGCTGTATTGCTGTCGTGAGGTGATCAGGTCATCTGCCTTGCTCAGCAGCTGGGCAGGGTGGGGCCTCTGGGAGGCATGGCTGCCATCGTGAAGTCCATGAAACTGTCCTGGGAAGGCTCTCTCCCCAAGGCCACTCTGGCTTATCAGAGTGGCAGAAGTAAGGCCGACGTTGGCTGGGGCTGAGAATTGCCCCTGGATCTGCCCTGCCAGGGGCGTGGGTGGGTTGGACAAGGTAGCAGAACGGAGCAAGTTCTCATCCAGCTCCAGACCGGAGAAGTTATCGTGTACGATGCGCCCGTTCAGCAGCTCCCCTAGATCCGTGTTAACCTCTCGACTCAAGGACTGCATTCCTGGAGCTCCAGCACCTGTGGAGAACACCCCTATCCCTCTATCTGACAGCTCCTGAACTGGCACACCATCTGTCTGGGTAAGCACTCCAATGGTACTCAGGCACTCAAGAGAAGTTACAGCCTGCAGGGCCCGTTCCAGTTCTTCAGCCTCTTCTGTAGTCGGAAGGAGATCTCCGTTTTTACCTGCAGAGACAGGGACACCACAAGTTAGTGTGCTCCTCTCAGGTGAGCCTGGCACTGGCACTCTACCAAGGCAAATGTACACACAGTTCAGTTCAGTTCAGAGCTGCAGTGCAAGGTAACCTTCCAGGCTTGCAGTACCCAGAAAATTTCAGTCACTGGTGTTCACTAGGTAAGAAAAATGAGAAATGACACCCTCCTCTTCAACAGAGCTCCCTCTCTCTGCCCTCCTCTTCCACATACTACAAGATGCTTCCCAAACTTGCTACACCTGAAGTAAAAACACTTAAATAAGATTTTCTTCAGTGCTCCATAAATGCTCATAAACTCCCTTCTTCTTACAACATTACGGCCTGGACCTACAATTTCCAGAGTCAGTATGATTTAGGTTATTTTCAACTCCAGCACAGCCTGATGTCACATCATACCAGAAAACAACCAAAGAAATCACATACCCCAGCTCCAGGCCGTTCTAATTTCTTTGTTGTATGTAATAGGTGCTGAGCTTAGAATCGAGAAATACAGGCACAGTTTTGATCAAAAGCCAGTTTCAGAAATGTTTTTAAAGGCTGTATTCTCACACGCTCTTCTCCTTTGATAAAAGGCCAACATCAACTGTGATTCCAGCCCCACTCGATGGCAGAAAGGTGTCATTACTGAGAACACTCTTGATTAAACTGCAACACCGACAGGCAGTAAAATTGTAAAATGAATTATTAAAACACTAAACCAATTAGGATTTTCAGAGCAGTAATTATAAGAGCAAGCAGAGAACTACACACGCCAGCCTTCTTAAAGTCTGCTCTACTTCAGGGCTTGCAAACAACAGAGCCAATGCTGCCTTGTCTAGCATTCATTACCCCTGCAGGAAAGCAAGCAGCCCCTCAAAATGCATTTTAGAAACAATGACTTTTTCAGTTCACTGCCTGTGTTCACATTCCCATAAAATAAAATAAAATGGTACCTTCAAAGAAATCAAAATCTTGCAAGTCGTCGGGCAGCCGTGGCAGGACATCAGAGAAGTCCTCCTGATTCAATTCCAAGTCATGTGGAATGTCTGAGATTTCGTTGGCGATATCATCGGGCAGCTCATCGGCACTCAGCTCGGGTGTGGAGGGGCTCCTGGACAGAAAGCACCAGGGTTCAACTCCAGTTCCTCCAAACGACACCCACAAATGCATATCCAGCTAGAATGGCTGTTTCCCCACCTCCCCACCCCCCTACCCCATCATCTAGGAATAAAATGCTTTTAGGAAGCTTCTTCAGGAAGCTTGCACTTAGCCTATGGATGAAATCTGAGATGCAGCATCAGGAGGACACCTTATCCATCAAAGGCAGTAACTGCCCAAATCTGACACACCCCACTCTAAGGTTTTGGTGTTTCCCAGCAGTGAGATGGGGCTGCAGCTTCTAGGCCTGCTCCAGATGCTGATCAGCACAGCAGCATCCTACCTCTCTACAGTGCTGCCCAACACCGTTCAACCTGGGCAAGCTGGGGCAGGGCTACCACTGACCGTATGTGGGGCATCTCTACTGGCAGTGAGACACTGGTGGGCATGGTGAGGTTCCCCTGGGGCACTGCAGGAGGGATGGGTTTCTGGGGCCGGCGTGGGCCTCGCCTCCTCTTCTTCTTGTGTTTTTTGGTAAGTGCAGGTGGCTTTGTTTTTTTCCTGGGTTTCCTCTGCTGCTGGTGCTGAACTTTACGGGAGCTGTCCCCTCTCAAGAAATTGTCCTTTGGGAATGAAACATATTAAGAACAAGTATTACTTTCCTTGCTTTGTTCCCCTGCTCATTCCAGCAAGACAGACTGCTAACCTACAGGCAGGCAAGGTTACAAAAATGAAGCTGTTTCATTCCTCATTGATCCCAAAGGCAAAAATGACACAGACCAAATGATGAGGTATGCAAAATAGCAGATCGTGCAGTGTCACTTTAAAAATCAATACAGCAGACCCTAACTAAATCAGTCCAAAACTGTAACCTTTGGCAGCATTCCTCCAAGTAAAACCACTGTTGTGAGGTGGTGATAAGGGGGAGTGTGCAGCACCTGAAGCCAGCATCCTCAAGTGCCCACTGCCATAAAAAAGAGGCTGAACAAAAACAGCAGCAAAAACCTCACAACAACAGGACAACAAAAACAAAACCAAAACAAGCAACTTATGCCTAATGCTTTGAAGCAGGGGCAAGGCAGAAGTGGGTTTGTGCATTATTCTAGAAGTTTTTTTTCTGGAAGATGGGAGGCATAAAAGGAAAGCAGAGGGCATCATCTTAATTTTTTGCATTCTCCCAACTGGGAGTAGGCCACTGCTCTTCCTCTGGGATCCAGGGATCCATGAAGGAGGTTAAAGACAAATTCTAATAGTCACTAGAAGGTAAATAAAACAACAAAATGATCATTTGTATGCTTGTAATTGCTATCTACACTTCCTCTAGAAAATATTTGGGGCCCTGTGTAGTGAGACTCCTTGCAGTGTTCTTACCATACTATATTCAGATGCAAGGGCCAGGAGTGAGCCCAGATAAAATGACCACAGGATCTCACACAAAGATTTTCTATTTCTTGGCTCAAGAAAGAAATTGAGTTTCTTCCAGTGAAGGACAGTCTCATACACATTTTATTGTATCCTCAAAACTATGTAAAAGATTTTCACAACAGACTTAATATTCACTGGGAATGTTTTGCATGTTTTAATCCCTCAATAAAAGGAAACAAGCACTTCAGTTCATAAACTTTCTAGCTGTCAAGCAAGAAGTCATAGAAAAGCTGTGGTTAAAACTCCTGATCTTCCCCATACACAAATAAGGACATTTTTGCTTTTGTACTCACCATTTTTTTGGCATGTTCTTCGCACAGAGGTGTCTGATGTGTAATGTCAAAAACTGGCACGGAGCACTGTTGACCATCTGCAAACTTGGCTGTGCAACTTGAGAAGAGCTGCTGAGAACGGTTCAATAAGATATCTGTGTGTTTCTGCATCAGGAACAACACATCAGGCAACGGTGGAGGAACACCCTTTGATTTATCAAGCTGATTAAGATCACAGCTTTCAACTGTACCTGTCCATAGATGCTATTTTTAATGAGTACCTTAACTTTGTTATTCAAGTTCAAAGCTAGGTAAGGCTCAAATCCAACTTTTCAAGTGAAAAACTGCATTCATGCAGAATCTCTAATGATTTTATTATATATTGAGATAGTTTTATAGAAGCAGCCATTTCACTAATGAGTTCTTAGCAAAAAGAAACCTTTTCCTGGAGTCTTAATCAATAGATCAATAGTAGCAGTTGGAACAGTGTAGTCAACAGGACTATTTCCTTACCAACTAATGACAATCCATACTGAAACATTAAAGAAAGAGTATTTCTTAATTCAATCTTTTAAGGTACATTCTTGGCATTTATCTTTAGAGCACAGACAAAGAAGTTTCAAGATCCTTCCTGCTTCTCTGAAAAAAAGATGTGCAATCAGACAGAAAGGTCAAGTAAATCCAAACGTAAAGCTTGCTGAGATTTCTTTCAGAAAAATCCCCTGCAGGAGTGAAAAGTGTTTCCAGACTTAGAGTAAATCAAATAGGTTTTCACTGTGTTTTTTCAAACAACATTAGAAGCATCCCTTCCATCTTGAACAGTTCTCAGACCTCAGCTCTGCTATGCATGTTCATAAAATGTTAAAAAGCAAAATAAAGGGCAAAGAAAATGGAAAACTTGCAGAACAGTCCAGATGGCAAACTTGGACAGATGGGTCAGAACCAAGAGTCTGTTCATTTTAGGAGAGACTGCTTCCATTGAGAAGAAAGTGTAGAGGGAAAAATGGGCACAAACACAAAATCACTAGTCTTGACTTCTCTGCTCTATGCACACCAACAACCAAGACAACTTAAACTCAAAAAAAAAAAACAGTAAAAAAAATATCATAGAATCAGAAGCATGAGGCAAATCCCAAACACAGCTGCACACCATGGTGTTTCTCTCAGAGAGGTTTTGAACTGCTCTGCAGACTACTTTTAAGGGTCCTGAAAAATTCAACCCAGAAAACCAAAGCATCTGCAAACAAAAATATTGAAAAGATGCTGCAGTCTGATAGCAACTGGAACAGATCAGCACCAGTCACTTAAAATACCTAAAAGCTCCAACAAAAGGAGCCACTCCAACAAAAGCACCAAAATCTCTTCAGCTAAAACCCAGAAAGACACAGCCTGCAGAATTCTTCAGTATTGCAGGTCAGAAGTCTACCTGTATAGAGTCTTCAGAATCAAGCCTCATATCTAATGTGCTCCCTCCTCCTTTCTGAAATCTTCATACTTTGACTCTTAACATGTTTTTCAGTCTTTGCTTGGAATCTTGAGCACTGGCAATTCTTCCTCATCTAGAATATGGATTCTGTGACTCCTCCTATTCTGCTTCTTTAAATAGTGCAAAGTATCCAATTGCCATCTTTCTAGTCAATGTAAGCCAGGTTTTTATGCTAGGGTAAAAACATGTTTCCATAACTGTTCATAGGTAGTCAGTCTACTGGGACCTACCAAGAACTGTATGAAAGCCACGAGGCTGAAAGCCACGTGGTTTGTACAAAGTCATCCATGAAAGATGATTTTGTGAAGGCCTCTTGCACCCAAATATAGCTTACAAAGTAAAATTATGTGACTATGACAGATACCAATGGCAAACCACTTATCTTCACTGTCTACACACTCAAATCACACAGACAAATTAAAAGTGAAGTAGTTGATGAGGCCCTAACGAACAGGTATTTCTTTGCTGTCAATGGAAAAACCTAATAAACAGATAAAAAACCAAAACCCTGAAACAGAACAGCTTCAACCTCTGCATGCAAGCCTCAAAGACAGTTAGGAGGATACGCTGAAAGCAATGTCTGGTGAATGGCAGGGCCTTGTTAGTGCACTGTTCTCCCTTCGAAGTCCCACTGCAGGTTGTTGGTTCTGCATCTCTCTGCCCCGCTTGGCTTGTGCTGGAAAAAAAAAGCATAGAAGATTTTAAGAGATAAAAAAAAGTCTCAGGGGGTTACTTAGCACAACTATGGCACTGAATATTGCACAGTAACACACGTGTGTGTGTGTCACGATCCAGATGGGTGCACACTACTACCAGACTCCACACAGGGGTACAGAATAGATGTCAATGACAGGTGAAGGTGTGACTGCAGGAACAGGATTATTGGTTACTTCACAGGGTCTTAACTGTAATGAGAGATGCTGTGTGTTACTACCATGTAAACATGACAAAACCCTGCAACAGAGCCAAGGACAGCAATAGGTAAGTGTCCAGACAGGTGAACCTTAAAATGAGGCTGACCTCGAGAACCCAGCGTCCTGGGTATGCCCACAGGGGCTGTCAGGTGCACTTCCAAGCCTGGTCCTGAATCCAAACACGCCGAGCACCCCCAGAGCTCACATGCAAGCATGTGCTCAGACAAAATCGGGCTCAGCTCTGGAGTGGCAGAACCTGAGCGTGCTCAACATGGGTCAAAGCTCTCCTTCATCAACGTGCTACAGCCCCATCCACCAGCGGGTGCCCGGAGCCCAGTGCTTCCTCAGCACAGCCTCAATGCTCTGAGCCTGAGCTGCAAGCAGGCGACCAGATAGCAGTGTGGATGAGTACTGCAAGCACCAACACAGCTCGCAGGGTGTTAGCCTGCTCTCCAGGCATTTGTCACCTTCAGGGAGGGAAAACTGGCGATTCCAGGGCTGACTTTCACCTCTGCACACGTTGTTTTCTAGGTGGACAAAAAGCTGTCTGTAGCCTGACTGTTTTCCTTCAGCCATTTCTGCCATCGACTGCACTTTGACTGAGCAAAGTTTTAGTTAGCAAACCACTCCTGTGAAAAATTTCTGAACTGAAAAGACTTTGTGGTTACTTCAATTAACCAGAGCAGCGATGACACGTGTACCTGGCTTTGTCAGTCTACCCAAAACAACACCATCTTTTTTTGGTGTAATAAAAGGCAAAAATAACGGACCAAAAAACCAGCAAGACCTTGCCAGTTCTGGCAAGATTTTGCTGTAGTTAAAATTTGGAGACATTTACATATTACATGTAAACTACTAATGTACCTCTACATTAAACCTCTGAGTAGCAATTCAGCATCACTCCACCTCCCCAGCAATAAACCCTCCAACCACAGCCCACTGTCCACCCAATCAACAGAAGATACTCTCAGTATCCTGCTCCACTCTGCCTCTCATGTCAGATCCCCCTTGCCCCCATAGTCACACCTCCTGTAAAGCAAAGCCACAACAGCAAAAGGGTGCTGCTGATACCCCAGACATAATGCCAGGGTTCAGACTTACTCTAGCTCTGCACAAGTATGAATCAACCAACTTTCAGTATGCTGAGAGCTGGAGGGATGTTGACATTATCTAGAAAGAATCCCCACAGAAGGTAACCTTCAGAGTTGTTAGAAGATATTTATTTTGTTGCCAAGTTTCATTTAATGTTAGATTGAGTTAAATCTAATAAAAAGCATGAGCTTAAGTTTGATTTGCTGGGAAGATGATTAAGAGGAAGCACAGACTTTTCAAAAAAAGCTGTCTGGAAAACAAAATCTGAACTGAAGCAGTGAACTGCAGACCAGAATGCACACCTAAGGAACTGCACTTAGTGAAGTGCCAGAGACTTGAAGGCAGCCAAAACACAAGGATTAATTAATAAGAATAAATTTTAGCAGGCCACTGACTACTTCTGTGACATATATCAGGCCCAGAGCCTGCTGACCAAACGGTCCACATTTTAAACCACAAAACTGAAGGCAGAAGGTACTCCAGGAGAACATGGAAGCCACGTGCACCTTACTGACAGGCATTAGCCAACCAGATCCTGGGCTGCATCA